CCAGTGAGATGGGCCTGTATGTCAACACAAAGAGAATTCATTCTCCCTGGAATCCACAACAGGCAAGAGCTCATTCGAAACCATCCTTTGCCAGGAATGCTTAAAATAATTACTACTGAATTACTAAACTGTCTCTGAAAACATTTTATTTGATGGTTCAACACATCAAGATTCTGAATTGCTGACATTCAAAAATGAGAATGCATTATTGTTAGGAAACAACTGTCGTACTGTAAAAGGCTTGCATTGTTTCAGTTTGGATGCCCTTCAGTCAGCTGTCATCCATAGCCATCATGCTGCCAGTGATATCTTAAGAAATTCGAGGGTAAATGCCAGGCTGGACTGTGCTAGTGTGCAATTCTTTGAATTCTTCATAACTTCAAATAAATGAATAAGTTCTTCTTTTATACTTGCTAAAAATAACAAAGCAGCTCATTGATGAATGCACCACTTGATTCTTACAAACTTTGAATTTGGCTGCTAAATTATTCACTCGTACAGCCATTTTGCTAATCCACGGTATATTAAAATATTATACATTTCTTACAATTAAAAATTAGATCTGGTTTAATCAACTCAAAATGAAAATATGCACAATGTTTTGTATAATAAGTAGTACTGTTTTCAAAAGAAAGAAAAAATCTACTGTACACTGCCTGTAGTTGTACAGTCCCTCTGCTACGTTAACAAATAATTGTTATATTATCAATCATTTGAGACAATAAAGGCTGATGACAAATGCTTTTCTCACTGGGCAAGTGTACAAGATTCAATAAACAGACTTTCGGAGAAGTACATTGACATTGGTTAAAATAAAATACAATAACTAGGCTCCAAGGTCCAATAAATCAAGAATTTAATGATAGGAAACAATATAAATGATTTGATAAATCGAATGGCTCCCCAGCAATTGCAACCATAACAAATTGTCACAACAGTCCCCATAACCTTTATTTTATTTTCTTCAAGTGCCCATGGTTTCTATATCCACCATCCTCATGCATTGTGAATTTCAGACACATAGGAGTTACTGCAACAAAACTTCTTGCTCAGGTTCTCTGGTTATCCACCCTTCTGCTTTGGAGAACAATTTCCCCCTACCTTCTCTGTCTCTCAGGTCGAATCTTATGTTTTTTGGTCATGTGCAAGTTGCGTTGAGTTTTTGGAGCAATTCTCTCTGTGAAGCCCAATGGAATTTCTCATTGTACCTTACAAAACTTACCTCATTAACTACTGACTCACCTCACATCTGCTTCTATCCCCATCTTACCATGTGGCATTCTCACAGCAACTCGCTGGCTATCTGCCGAAAAACTGCCATCCCTTTCACCTGCACCACCACTTGTAGCATAATAACAATGCAGCCACAAAGCCATGTTGCCTATGGCACATAGCCAGCACGCTTGATAATCCCTTGCACATACAACCCTATTCACCCACTCTCACACAGTTTACCTGTCCTTAGCCATGTTCCACTAAACACCCTCTTAAATCACAATTACACTTTCTCTAAAGCCCACAGTAGATCTGTACCTTTCATGTATAGGCAAACATTCAAACGAGGCCAAAGATGTTATTGACAGCCACCAAAAAGGAACACAATGCGATCCAACTGTTGGCATCTTGACCTTGACAGTCCATGATGGTCTTCTGCACCCAGCTTGCATCTAATGGAACCGAGTGTCAATCAGTTTCCGGTAGCACTAATGCAGCTGAGCTCTTTCACCACAAGGAGAGTTTCCTACAGTTCAATGTCCTAATCTTTCTTCTCGGACAATTGCACCCATTTGACCGGCTCCTTAGCATCTATCACATTACCTGCTCCAGCTGTGCAGAGCACAGCTCAGCAGGATTGTACGGCACATTCTGTGTTGGCTATACTGGAGGGAGCCCCAGCTTGCTACAAACTGTGAAAATTTGCTGTCAGCAGTTCTTTGCACCAGCTTCATGAAGGTGCTGTGATGGCTGAGTGACCAACACTTTAAAATAGAGAGGTGACTATGCTCTGACACCATTCTCATCTCATAGTCACAACAACTATTTCATGTTTCACTGCATTCATCAGAGCCCATCGTCATATTTACATGACAGATGACACAGCGATGTGCCTCTTGTCCCAGAGCACCCTTGGAAGTTTCAAAGTGAATGAGTGCTTTTGGTCAACTTTCTCTTTTTTTTAAGGCATTTTTCTGCATCACTGAATGCCACTGTAAGTTTAGCCAACTCCAATGACATGTTGTAATATGCCTTTGACTAAAATTTGACACATCAGCAGGTTTACTCTATATGCATTACATATTTTCATTTTATTATTTGTTTTATTATATCATGAGATGTGAGTGTTGCTGGGTGGGCCATCATTTTAGCTGATCCTAATTGCCTTAAGAAGATGGGTGAGCTGTTTTCTTAAATTGCTATACGCAGACCTACAATGCCACTAGGGAGGGAGTTCCAGGACTTTGATCCAATGTAGTAACAGTGATATATTTCCAAGTCAGGATGGTGAGTAGCTTGGTGATGGTAATGGAGGGGACCTTGCAGGTGGTGGTGTTCCCATGTATCTGCTGCCCGTGTTTGTCTAGGAGTGATTGTGAGTTTGATGAGCGCTACCTAAGGATTTTGGCAAATTTCTGCGGTGTGTACACACTGCTGCTATTGAGTGTCAGTGGTGGAGTTACAGAATGTTTGTGGATGTGAGGACTTTGCAGGTCCAACAGGACTGTTTTTGCTGTTGTCATTTGTGGTGCCTAGGTTGATGCCTGGTGGTTTGTCCATTTCATTTCTCTTTTGAGACTTTGTAGCGATTGTTACAACTGAGCACTTGCTAGGTCACTTCAGAGGGCATTTGAGGATTAACCACATTGCATGAGTCTGGAGACACATGTCAATCAGACCAGGTAATGATTAAAGATTTCCTTCCCTGAAAGCACATTAGTGAATTGGATTGGCTTTTCTGACAAATCAGCAGTGATTTCATGGTCATCATTCGACTCTTACTTCCAGATATTTATTGAATTCAAACTCCACCATCTGCTGTGGTGGGACTCAAACCTGGGTTCCCAGAACATTACCTTAGTTTCTGGAATAATAGTCTGGCAATAATACCACTCAGTCAAAGCTTCCCCAGCAAAGAAATACTTGCAATTGAAATATAGCTGGAGCTTGCAATCAGATGCTTCATGTATTTGCCATTTCAATGTCCTACCATCCAGCAGACATAGATCCCATGCTTTAGTCTATCAAAGTGACACTAGCTGTACCCACTTTCGGTGTTGTCCCTATCATTTTCTAGTTGCATTTCACATCTAGAGAATGGCAAATGACGGCATGGAACTTAGCTAGTCGTTGACACTGTGACACCGGCCTCTGCCTGGTCACTAGGTACCTCTCTAGAGCCTCAATGTACCAGCTCAGTTTAAGGATTGATCATAAAAGTGGCTATCTGGAGCTCTTGTGCCACAGTAGTGGTGTCCCCATCTCTAGATCAGGATGGACAGGTTCAAATCCCACCTGCTCCAGAAGTGTATGATGACATATCTGAATAGGTTGATTAGGAAAATGTCTAAAGGTGGCTATCTAGGCCACTTGTGCTATCTTAAATCTTTTAAACAACTGCAGCAGCTTTAAATTTAGTCAGCAATATCTTATGCAAAACTTTATCTCCTGAGAAGCCACATAGAATGCATACAGAGTCATTCCTCCATCTACTACTTTAATTAATTTCTCAAAAGATTTGATTAGGTTTGCTAAGCATAACCTGCCCTTTACAAATATACATTGACAGAATCAACTCAAAGCTGTGTCAATTAAACATTCCAATATCTTTACCATAAGGACTGTTGTATTAACAGGGTAATAATTAACATTTCTTCCAAATCTGATTTCCCTGTTGCAAGTTGTTTCCCATCTTTAGTTCCCTTCTTCCCCATCCTTGTTTATCCCTGTTGTTGGTCTTGCAAATTGCATGTGTCAAAACATTTCATGAGCAAAGACTCTTAACTACAGGTAACTCAACCTACTTAAGTTAAATGGAATGTCAAATATGCCATGATAGAATGCCTCTTATGATACCTTTTATATTGTATAAAAGTATAATAAAATGTGCTAAGCATTAAAATTCACAATAGTACATTGAACCACTGGAGGCAGATGGCTAACACCATGGTCAAAAAAGTTTCTTTGAGGAAGAAAGTGAGTTGTGAGGCTGAGATGTTTCGGGAGGGCATTCCAGTGTGCTTTTGGCTCAGACACTTAAAGGTATAGTGATTAAAATTATAGATGTGCAAGAGGCAAATGCAGATGTTCCAACGCATTTTGGGCTGAAGGAGTTTGCAGTGATGTTGAAAAGTGAGGCTTGGGGATTTGAAAATATGGAGTTGGCAACCCTTAGTGGAACCATAAACCTTTCTGTCAACGTATTTCGACTGTTAATCTATGTTTGTTCATTCAAGGCTTTGATAAGAACTTTGAGGTTTTGATGTACTTTTTCACATTTTAAGATAACCCATGAGATAGTAGATTCCCTGGTCTGCAATCAGGTAGTTAGAAACATTGTAACTGTTTGTGTACTTTTTTTTTAAGTAAAGTTATCATTCGGGAAAAAAAACAGACAAAATAGGCTATTTTTACTATTTATTACAAACATCAATCAACTTCCTTGTTACATTTCTATTGCCGTGGCAGCTCAGCAATCCCTATCAAAAAGTGTGCTCAAAAACTGTTATTTGCAAAACGACTTTCAGATGATGCGCATATTTAAGGAAACGGCCTCTATCAGAGTCTAGACCCGAAACGTCAGCCTCTCTGCTCTGATGATGCTGCTTGGCCTGCTGTGTTCATCCAGCCCTGCACCTTGTTGTCTCGGATTCTCCAGCATCTGCAGTTCCTACTATCTCTATCAGAGTGGAGTGGTTTCACTTTGGTCGCAACCAAGACTACAACTCCCGGCAACCTTCGCCGTTGGTTTGCTCGGGGTTCCCGGCTGTAGGTGACATGTTTACATTTACGGAGGGAGGAGAAAGACAGACTTAAAACAAAACAGCCCGTCTTGTGATTGAATAAAACATGCTTAATAAACAAATCATCTGTTCTGCACGCAGTTACACAGCGTCTGTAAATGCTGAGCGACAGGTACATTTAATGTACATTTATTCATTTTTGTGTGTGTGTGTGTGGAGGGGGGAAGGGTGATAATAAGCGTTGTGTTTGTAGCGCACCCCAAAGGCCCCCAAAGCCTGGCGGCTTTATTGAGAAGGGTGTATGCGAGCTGAAGTTCCAGTGTTGGTGGAGCTGACAGACTGGGTACTGTCTGCGACTAGAGTTTGCAACTCCGCCTTCCAGTTCCAGAATGTTGGTCACAATGGCCGAGTATCAAAGAGCGAGGCCGACATTCCACAAACAGAATGTCCCCATTGTCTCCACGTTCCAAAGCGGCACTTCCGCATTCAATGTCCACCAAGTTGACCCACCATCCGCTGCAATCCATACACAAAATAAAGAAAAACACCACCACCTTTTGTAAATATATCTTTTTTTTATTCCAAAGAGTCTCTCTGATGTGCGACAACTAAACAAATTAAAAATCGCCAGTTTTAATGTCTTGTAGAAAAGGTTCCAGTTTACACTGTCGCGTTTGCATTGGTGCGAAGGGTTTTGGCTTTCTCATCAATTCAAACGTGGCAGAAAATGACCGACCATTGTACGATAAAAGTCCAAGTTTCATTTCAACAAATGATCGTGACAAGCGTACAATATTTCCACTTACGATGCAATTCAGGTGGTTTATATGGCTTTTTATTCTTATTTCTCCCGTTTCCCATTTATTAAGCGCTTATGCATTGTAGGTACGAGGTCGGAATGCTGTGAATCTAGAAATTAAACCTTATATCATAAAATAAGACATGGAGTGGGCCAGTCATGGCTTAGTAGCGCTCCCAACTCTTGAAACACAAACTTGTAAGTTCAGGTTCCACATCAGGATTTAAATACGATAAAGACTCCACATTCCAGTACTACTTGTTGCTGACTGATGTTGTTACCCGATTGGAGGTAGCGTCTTTCAGTTCAGGCATAAGACAAATCTCATCTTCCAGCTCCGGTGGATGCACAACATCCTAAGGTGCTATTTTGAAAAGAAGGGGGCTTATCCAAGGTATCCTTATCCTGAAAGAAATTCCTAAAAATAGATTATTTGGTTATTACTACCTTACTGTTCTGGGAGTGTTGAGTGTGTATAATGATTGCTGTATTTCTTGCATTTAACAGTAAGTACACTTCAACAAACTACTTCATTGGTTGTGAAGTGCTGTAGGACCTCTTATGGTCATTAAAAAGTGCTACATAAAGTTGAGTTTCATTTAACTTTCACATTCAGGATGGTTTGAAGGAACAGTTTCAAGCTTTAGCGTACTTGCTGTTTGCGGGTTTACTTGATGACTGCATATTTGTATTACCTGTTTTTCAGTTTTTATAATTTAACTGTGTTGATTTTTTGTTTCTTCCTTATTTGCATAGACCAGCCTTCCAATAACTTAATGGTAGTCTCCCACAAGAGGAGGTGTTTGAGATGTGTCCTTCTCGAATAATTGGTGTGATCCAATACTGTACCCGTTTATTGTGCATTCTCGTGTCCTGCTTTGTTTTAGTGAGTCTTTCCTTACAACAACATCTTGTATTAATCTACTGACCTTAAGGTAAACTATCCCAGTATGCTTCACCGAAATATAATAAACGAAATGTGATACCACACCAGGAAATTAGGGTAGATAACCAAAAGCTTGATCAGAAAATTAGGCTTTAAATAGTTTACTAAAGGAGAAATTTGGGGAGGTAGAGCGATTTGGAGTCGGGGGTGAATTCCAAAGTGCCAGATAGTTGAAGGAACTACCTTCACTGTAAACTGAATAAATCTGGTGACACTTAAGAGGTAAAATTAGATGTGCGCAGATAGTTTGAGAGTTGTGGGGCTACAGGAGATAACAGAAATAGGGAAAGTTAAGACCATGGAGACATTTCTGAAGAAGGGTCCTGACCTGAAACGTCGGCTTTCCTGCTCCTCTGATGCTGCCTGGCCTGCTGTGTTCCTCCAGCTCCATACTGTGTTATCTCTGACTCCAGTATCGGCAGTTCTTACTATCTCTAAGAATTTTAAAATCTGTGTTGCTTGACTGGGAATCTGGACTAGTCAGTGGACAGAGAGGTGTTGGGTGAACAGGACTGGCTGCAAATTATGACACAAGCTGCAGAGTTTTGAATGACCTCAAGTCTGTGGAAGGTAGAATATAGGAATCCAGCAAGGAGAGCATTGGAATTGTTGAGATGGAGGTAACAAGGCATGAATAAGGGTTTTAGCAGCAGCAGGTGAGCTAACATAGGGCAATGTCACAGAAACAGAGATGGGCTATTTTAATAATGGCACAGACATAAGGTCAAAAGATCATTTTGCTTAAATGTGACAGCAAGATTCCAGACAAGTTGGCTAAAGCTCAGACTATCCCACAGGGAGAGGGATGCAGTTGTTGACTAGATGGATATCAGATAATTTAAAATCAGAAGTTGAGGAGGTGGTGATGAGGTACAAAGTGCATGTGAAAACTAACGTTCTGCCTTTGGATGATGTTGCCAAGGGTCAGCAAGTAGATTAGAAGTAAGAGGGGAGCTTGGATAAATCCTTGGGAGTATCAGAGGTAATGGTACAGGAAGAGAAAAAAATGTTATTGTAAATTATTCCCTGGCTACATATGGGTCGATAAATTTGGAACTAGGGGAGAGCAGTCCTGCCCAACTGGAAGACAGTGGTGAGAAGTTAAAAGAGTATTGTTTGATTCGTTGTCACCCTGAGCTTATTGTTTATGTCATCATCTACATTTGGTTAAATTATACATTTAATCTCTTTATCCTATTCTTTCCCATACTCTGTATGTTCATTTACTTTAAATATTTGTCCAGTTTTTCTTTAAAAGATATGAAGGTCTCTGGCTCAAACACTCTCTGTGTCAAAACATTTCATGCATGAGCAATTCAAGCCATTTCTCCTACGCTGTTTCCATACTTTGTCATAATGTGACCTCATCACTGACATTAAATCCTGTCTTTTTTTACTCACTGTATCAAAACCAGCTGTATTAATTTCACCATAACCTTGTCTGCTTCTCAAGAAATAGTCCCAGTATCTTGAGGGTCACTTTGTAACTATAGTTTCCCATTGCTGGAATTATCTTGGTGAATATATAATGAATATTCTGTGTGGCTTTAATGTGTTTTCTATAAAAGATCACCCAAACTGGTCACTATTCTTAATGTAACCTAAGGAATGTTTTGTACATTATTTATTACTCTTATTCTATGACTAATTTATAAAACTCAAAAACTGCTGGTAGTTTTAATGAGCTTTTACACATCCCGCTCATACTTTCAGGGAAGTATATATTTGAAGCTGAATTCTCTCCAGTGTTATTTAAACTATAGT